CTTAAGACATTGGCGTTTTATTAAACAATTTCATTTAAAAGAGAAAGCAGTAAAATTTTTAAAAAATAAAGTAATCATTGATGGAAAACATGCATCTGAAGAAGAAATTCATAATGAATTAAAAAAATATACATAAATTTCTAGATGATGAAACATTTGTATCTTACTTTGTCGAAAGATGGATAATAATTATCAAAAAATTTCAAGTATCTGATTAGAGTAAAAGCTGTATAATAGACAATCCCAATCTTTTGAATAAACTGAGATACGATATAATTATAGAAAACAATAATCTAACAATTTCTGATGGTGAATATAGAATCAATTCAATTTATTCATACAGAGCACTGCAAAAAGAAGTATCTTATTATAAGATACATTGGAAGCAAGTTACCAAAAGTATTTTCCTATCCATCTTATATCTTATAGAAACTAATGCATTTTAAGTTGTTTTAGATAACTTAGAAGCAAGTTATAAAAAACATCTTAAAAAGGCGACCAAAACATCTTAAAATAAAATACTTCTTTTTGCAGTGAGAAAGATGTAAAATAGAAGAAAAATCATCGTTAGAGGATATAATTCAAAATTTTAATGAACAAAAAGCAGGTTTTTCGGTTACATTTGAAGATTATTATGCTATATATGAAATTTTATGACATTAGGTGATAGAAGGATAATTGGAGATACACGTGAAGCGAAACTAATGAAACTTGCACTATATATAAATTAGCAATAAGACAGTTTGATGATTTAATAGATGATTTTAAATTGACATTATTTCATACCGATTCAAAACCTATACTAATATTGTTAATAGTGAATATTTTTGGGGAAAAAAAAATTATTTTGCAAAAATTTACACTAACTTCAACAAATATAACGTCTGCCACGAGATTTGCTGTATATCTACTATTTGGATTCACAAATATTTTGTATGAAATGAAATTTACTACTGATTCTCATTTTAGAGCAACAATTAAAACAAAACCTTTTGATGAAAAAAAAGTAATTCTTTTACTTGGAAGTAAATGTCAAATTATAAATAATGTCAGAAACAGATATATAAAAGAAGTGGGTAAATTAAAAAAAAAACACAAAAATCAAGTTGTAAATTGTTATTTTGTATACAAAATATTACTACATTTATAAATAAAATTATAAATTTAAACAAGGGTTTAAAATATTTTTAACAAATAAAATAAAATGGTTATTGTTTTGTCTAATTATTGTCAATTGTTACGTCAAATGTAACTTTGCCATTTTCCCCCTTAAGTTCTCTTTTATGTTATTAAAAAAACAGAATTTCAATCTATATTTGCGTTCTCTAATATAATGGAAGAGATTCTAAAATTTTTACATTACATTTAAATTTTATATATTTACATGTGTCAGATGTAAACAACATATATAGTAAAACGGTTTTTAATTTATGTTTAAAATATAAAATGCTTTAAAAAAAGTAAATTTACCATACAAAACATAACATTCCCGGCATCTTCGACCATATTTGTTAGTGACGTCACGACAAACGTTTCCAATACGTTATGATTGTTTAAAAATTATATACAGGGTGTTCCAAAAGTATGGAAACTTTCAAATATCTCGAATAGTACGCATTTTCGTAAAAAATATCTAAAACAAAAGTTGTTCAAAAAAAAAAAAAAAATCTACATTTTTGAACCCAAAAAATTGGTCCCGGGACCCAACATTGAAAAAAGAAGTATCACGAAAATGCATACTTTTCGAGATATTTGCAAGTTTCCATACTTTTGAAACACTTTGTATATGAGGCAAAATTCCTGAAATGTCCGAACAAAAAATTAAAAGTTCTCGAATTTAATCCATACTTTTCTAAAATGTTGTTATTGTTGGTGAAAGTCTAAAAATCAATTATTATTGAATTTAATAAAATAGTTTTTGAATTACAACGTTTTTAATTTTTGACTTTTGAAAAAAAAAATTTTTTTCAATGTACAATATTTATAAGTAGAATGCATAAAAGTTAACATATATGTAATGATTTTTAAAGCTTTTTTGACGGGCTACACGCTGTTAATAAAAATTTTTTTTTTAAATAACATTTGACCTTGAAATTCAAGGTCAAAATGTTAATTTACGTTTATCTCAAAATCGGATTTTTTAAAATTATTTTTAACTCTCTCAATGGAAAGCTTGACTAAGTTCCTGCAAAATATGTAATTTTCAAAGTGGGATCTTTTAAAGTTTTTGAGATATTAATTAATTAATTAATTAATGTTTATAACAAATGAAATATCTTACAAACAAATAATGTTATCGTAAATCTAAACTAACCAATTGAAAGTTAAGGTAATTCCGCATCCAACGAGCCCTATATGAAGTATTTTGGATAAGTAGATTGTTAATAAACAATTAGTTAACATTGCAATTGTTTATTAACAATCTACTCATCCAAAATACTTCATATAGGGCTCGTTGGATGCGGAATTAGCTTAACTTTCAACTGGTTAGTTTAGATTTACGATAAGATTATTTGTTTGTAAGATATTTCATTTTTTATTGTTATTTAACTAAAATTGAACAAAAATACTGCATATAGGGCTTTTGGATGCTTGTTGTTAGTAAAAAATAAAATATTTTACAAACAAATAAAGTTATCGTAAATCTAAAATAACAAATTGAAAGTTAAGCTAATTCCGCATCCAACGAGCCCTATATGAAGTATTTTGGATAAATAGATTGTTAATAAACAATTACAATGTTAACTAATTGTTTATTAACAATCTACTTATCCAAAATACTTCATATAGGGCTCGTTGGATGCGGAATTACGTTAACTTTCAATTACTAACTTCAGAATTACGGTAACTTTATTCGTTTGTAAAATATTTCATTTGTTATAAACATTAATTAATTAATTAATTAATATCTCAAAAACTTTAAAAGATCCCACTCTGAAAATTACATGTTTTGTAGGAAATTAGTCAAGCTTTCCATTGAGATAGTTAAAAATAATTTTAAAAAATCCGATTTTGAGATAAACGTAAATTAACATTTTGACCTTGAATTTCAAGGTCAAATGTTATTTAAAAAAAAAAATTTTATTAACAGCGTGTAGCCCGTCAAAAAAGCTTTAAAAATCATTATATATATGTTAACTTTTATGCATTCTACTTATAAATATTGTATATTGAAAAAAATTTTTTTTTTCAAAAGTCAAAAATTAAAAACGTTGTAATTCAAAAACTATTTTATTAAATTCAATAATAATTGATTTTTAGACTTTCACCAACAATAACAACATTTTAGAAAAGTATGGATTAAATTCGAGAACTTTTAATTTTTTGTTCGGACATTTCAGGAATTTTGCCTCATATTTATAATTGATAATTTTTTCGTAAATATAAAAAAAAGACTGAGCAAAAAATAATTTTTTTTTCACAATACAAAATTAAATTAATTCTTTGCATTGGAAAATGCTTTATAACAAATATTGAAATTATGATGACTCCTTTTTTTATTTTACAATAATTTTCTCTTACAATAATAATTATTATATGCAATATATTATAGTAAACCAAAAGACATCTGGAGAGTGGAAATTTCTCTAAGGAAGGCGTGCCGTACTAAGAAAGGCCGTTACTACTTAAAACTTCAGTAGTCGCTTTTCTGACTTTGAATAACAGGCATTCATTAAGCAAATCGCTGAAATCTGGCATAGTGAAAGTCATTTGGAATGTTTTGTTTTCAAAGTTTATTGCTCATTACTATAACTTATTGCAATCATCCTCAATTTATTAACACTATTAAATTAATAATATGCAACTTACTTTTTCATATACACATAAAAAGTTTTTTTAAAGTTAAATTTTTCATTTTTCAAACTTGTGAATATGCCTATTTTGTTCATCAACAAAAAAAAAAAAAAAAAAAAAAAAAAAAAAAAAAAAAACCAGATTGTAATTATTATTATAATTATAATAAGTATAATGACAATAATAATAATTTGTTATATGTATTTTAACTAAATTAATTATTTCGCTGTTCATTTTTATTGGTTATACTCTTTTAAATATTTCTTATGAGTCTAATTATTAAAAATTCCCAATATGTCCAAGAGATTTTTAATGACTTTAAAAAATATATCAAATTAAATTAATTATATCTTCTTTTCATACCGGCGAAAGAATTTGATATTGTCTGATACATGAATCATCAATTTCAGTGATGAAATATGAAGGATATATATATATAACATTGAATTGTGACATTGAAACTTAATATAGAACATCATATGGAAAATAAATATCTTTTAACAATATCAGAATGCAGTCTCATGGTTATAATGATTCAGGCACAAAAAATGTAAAAGTTCAATCATTTTTTTGTTTATATTGTTTTCTTTTTTTAACGACTGTCGAAGTATTTGAAATTATCTGCGGTATACACATATGAATCATCAATTTCGATTTCCGATCATAATAATAATAATAAAAATAAAAGGAAGATATTAATTGTTTGAAAAACGAAAACTGTCTCTCTTTAACTTTTTTTTTTTTATCTTCCAGACATTTGTAAATTATGGTTTCTTTCATATATAGCATTTTCTCACAGAGGATATTTCATAATATAGATATACAGTCAGAATGAATCTCATACAGCGTGCTTCCGTGCTAGAAAGTTAATTTGAAAACACTGAGGAAAGTTTTTTTTTTATTACAAGGATTTCGATTTTTTTTTTTTTTTGCACACTCTTACTGATGATAAAATTTATTATTTTTATCAAAAATAGTAAAAAATTTAAGAAGAATATTAAAAATTTTAAACAATATAAAAATATTGTGAAGTAAAATGAAAAAAATAACATTATAATATAATAAATAAATATACTATTTTCCTATTTTTGAATGCATCGAAACGTTTTTTTTTTTTTTTTAAGAGTGTATTTATTTTCTCGATGTTACGACAGTGATCGAATTTGGTCGAGAGAGATATAATTAACATTGAAAATGAAGCTCACCATTTTGTACGAATGCAAGAACGAGTCCCAGCCATAAAACCAGAGTAAGAGCCCGCACCTTCTGAAAAAAAGAATCGTGACTTGCATTAGTGAATTGCAAGGAGTGCGCAGGCATTTATGTGATTAAGGAACTCACGTATATATATATATATATATATATATATATATATATATATATACTATAAAAATACATATAAAATTTTAGCGACGCCTTGATCCCGTTATACGAGTCATTCAGGAAACAAGACTCTCTGCGATATATATATATATTGCGACTTGTAACTTCCTGCATGACAATATTGAACCTTTCACATAATTACAATTATTTAATTTTCGAAAGCAGAGCAATAATCGTATAGCGTAACGTTTTATTACGATTGCTCAAAAAGTTAGTTCGTTTTTGTCCCTATCGTATTTGTTTCCAAATTTTCAATTTCGAAAAATATAACTTATTAAATTTAAATTTAATGCCGTTAACATAATTCGTTACATAAATATTTTTTTTTCTTATTTTTTTTTTTAATACTAAACTTAATGTTTTAGAAATTTATTTACATTTATATAAATGTTATTATTTCAATATCATTTTATTTATAATTTAATTAAGTTTGTATTCTTTTATTAATTTAAATAAATTAGTGCGCGTATAAAATTCGAAAAAATGTAGAGTTGGACCAATTTGTTTACTGTTTGTCTAATAGAATAATTAAAATTTGAAAATTCATAAAAAAAAAACAGACTACTTCAGTATAAGACAATAAAAATATAATTAACTAAAATTAATTATCATACATGAAATAAACAAAAGTATGTATTTTTTTTTACTGCGTTTTCTTCGAATAATGAATGTATTTTTAATTTGAAAGCGTAGAGAAATTACTTTCGTTTTCGTTGCATAATTTTTTTTCCTGATTTAGAGAAAACGCGCGCATTTCATTAATATTTCTTTAATTTTTTGGAAAATTGTTAAAAAAAACACATTGCAAAAATAAATATCTTCTTAATATCTTAAAACAAGATGTTAAAATGGAAATGGTATCTTCCATTCGCTTCCATCTTAGAAGAATATGTTAATTTTAATGTTTATAGATGCTTTATTCCTATTATAACATCTTAAAATAAGACACTTTAAATAACTAAAAAGATACTACCAAAACGTCTTAAAAGTTACTACCAAAACATCTTATATTAAGACACTTCTTTTTGGAGTGCATGAATGTGTATATTAGTTATTAGCAATGTTTATTGAAAGTTATATGTAAAGATTTAAATGTTCCATTTGAATAAATGTTTAGCGCGAAACTTTCTTGAACATTTATTTAATCGAGTCATTTAAATCTTTACACAATTAAATTTTCAGGAAAGTTTCGGTGCTGTAGGAGGAAAAAAGGAATTAAAATTAAAAAGTTTAAAATATATGTGAAAAGTTATGCATGTCAAACCCAAAATAGGTGACAAAACAAAAAATAGATATATAATAATAGCTGAATAGATGACAACCTTATGAATAACTATTATATATTTAAATGGAAAAATAGTAAATGTATATATGTAATAATGTTTGGTGAACATGCTTAAAAAAATGACAAAAATTCAATTGAAAAAAAAAATGTATGTCAGTTTTGCATATTAAAAAACAAAATTCTTTTTTGTATTCTCATCTTTTTTTTTCATCCGTCGAAGATGATATCAAATTCTAGGGATCGTCGACATAGGGACAAGTATTAACAAGGATATCACGTTTCTTGACAGCTCCTCCTGTTTGAATACAGAGGTATTACATACATTAATCATTAGTTTGGTTGTGAGAGAAAGGAGAGAATAAAAGTGTTTGTGCCATGACGACTTTCAAGGCTTAGTACCTATATATTCTACAACAATACACATGTCACAATTAATTGAATGAGAACACACGAACTACTCTCTCATTTACTGAATAAATTTCCAACAATATCTTCCTAAATCCGTATATTTATAAATCTTTTATATCTCTATGATTAATCTTAATTCTAAATTCTTTTTTTTCCACGCGCTAGCATTACATCATTTGCAAATAAGATTAGTAGGTATACATACTATTATCTCAATTAGTTAACAGTATATATGTGATTGTTAGGTTTATAATGTTAATTTTTTTTTTTGAAGTTTACTGTTAAAATATTGAATGGATTGATCTGAGATTTTATATGGAAGAGTTCGTTTTAAAAACGTTTTTAGAACGTTTCATGCCTGCCAAATATAATGTTGTAGAACATTATTTGAATATCTTTATTCTTAAAATTAAAAGATCCCGCTCATTTTTGATCAATAGTAAATCATATTTTTTCATCACTTCCGATTCTGGTTATCCGCAAAAGTAGTGGAAGGGATAACATGCGAAACAATTTTTCAAGTTTTTCTTTCTCATTACCTTTGTAAGTTGAGAGACAGTGATATGTATCTTTTCAATTTTAAAAGCATTAAGCAAATCTAACTCTCCAGCGTATAATTCATTTACATTTTACACTGAGAAAAATGCCGTTGGTAACTTTACAACGTCCAACGTGACTCGAAAAATGGACCACGTCAGACGTTGTAAAGTTACCAATGGTTTGTAAAAAAACGGTATGTTTTGTAGAGTTACCAACGTTTTGTAAAATTGCAAAGAGACAAATACAAGCCTTGTTTATTTACTAAAGATTAGCTTATTAACAATGAGTTTGCCTTTTTACAAACGATTGTCAATTTACGATCGTTTGTAAATTTACAACGTCCAACATGACGTTACTTTATACTAAAAAAATCACTTGTGACTTTACAAACGGTTCGTAACACAGCGCTGATATTTTTCTCAGTGTATTAAAAATTATTAAATTTTGTGCGAAATATATGACAACATAACTTAAAATTTTTCGATCCGATTGAAAATTGTCTATACAGATATATATTAAATTTTTCATTAATAGGAAATTACTCATTGAAACGAACTCCTATTCAAAATTTTACATTCCGATTAAAAACGTTATAATAATGAATCCACATTCTTAAAATGTCTGATTCACTAGACGGTGCATTTAATAAGTTTTTTTTCCTGGGCAGTTGTGGCCACTTTGAGATTTATGTTGGTATTATTAAATTTCCTAAAAATTACTATTAAATTATAGGGACATTTACACTGAAAGAAAATTCATACTACTAAGTATTAAACTCATATTAGAGTTTAATATAAATGTTACAATTTAGGGAAAAAGTGCACCTATACTGATTACTATTACAGTTTTTATGAAAATATATAATGAATTTAAGAGTAACTATTATTTTAAGAAATAAAAATTAGTATATTTATTTTAAAAATTAGTATTTTCTTTATGAATTCACAGAATACGAAATATTATAATAAATAATTTCACAAAATAGTAAGAAAAATAACATATATCCGTATACTTATTTCACATTTTGTAAAACTTTATATTAAAAGTCACGGATTTTCCCGAGAGACTACGAATTTAACCGAAGTTCTGTCTGTTTGCGGCTTCGTGTCCTACTCGAACTTCTACGACTTGATCCGATTTTCGAAAGTGTTGTTAACCAGCAGAACGTACCTAATTTATTTTCAATTTATAAAAAATGTTTTATTAAAGTTATTTAATAATAATAAATTTATTATTAATTATTAAATTTATTATTATTTTTATTAATTTTTATTTTTTGATGTCATCTTTACAATTATTTAATTTTTATTTGCAATAAAAATTTTTATAACAATCATAATTTTTAATCTGAAAAAAAAGAAAAATCTATATAAACAATTAATAATGAAAATGAACCCAGCGTAACCTCTATAAAATTACACCATTGGCACTAGTAAACTATTTTTTATTATTAAGTTATTATAAGTAAACTTCTTTCTCGCAAGTGGTAAAAATATTCAGTAGTTAGTATATAAGAAAACGATATATGCCGACCCCCAGCGAAATTTATCGTTATGCGTATAGAATTGTAAGTGTAGGTTTCGTTGCGATCGTGTAATGTCTATGTATAAGCGAAATGAACGTGCGTGTTCATTAGTATGTGTGTTAACCTGTATCGTAAGTGTGAATGTGTTGTTCCTAGTCTCACTCCTCTTCCTCCCGAGAATTAACGGAAACGTCCGAGTTTCCACTTTTTTTCCCTTTTCTTCCGACATTCTGAATTTTTCGTATAAAGTTTTACAAATATTAGAACGCTACATTCCATATAATGCAACAACTCTATGAGAATTTAATATAATATTTTCAAATATTGGTAATCTTTTTACGTTCTTTCTACAATAATTATTAATATTTGAAAAAAGATTTTAAGTTGGAACTTTAATATAAAGTATATTGAATTTTAATAAAAAGTACACTTTTCCCTAAATTCTAAAAGAATATATTAAAATGTAATACGCATTTTGTTATTTTTTCCTATGAAATTTCTTTCAGTGTATAGAATTTTAACATAAGTTGGGAATACTGTATTCACTTGCTTTAATATTAATGCTTCTTTGAGAGAAGTTCACATGGATTAATTAAAAACCACATGCAACTGTCAATGGTGCAAAACAATACATTTTTCAATGCTTTCTAATAAACATCGTGACAACATCACTTGTAAGTAAATAATTATTATTTCAAATTAAAAGCAATATTTTGATAATCTTTTCTTATGTATGTATAAATATATCTATGTAAAAGCGTTCATTTCAAGAAAATAACCTTAAATATTAAAAAAAAGCCCATGGCCAAAATTGATATAGCAAAACTATAAAAACACCATTTTTGACCACTCTATTTTATATAGGTTTAAATTGACATGAACTGATTTTGATAATTCGTCTAGGCCAAAATATCACGCACTTATTTGAATATTTTAATTAAAGTTTTTTATTTAATAAATAGTATATGTTGATTAAAAATGATATGTATTATTTTTGAGTTCATAAAGTATCTAACAATTTTTTATCTTATTCATATTTCTCAAAATACATTCATTAAATTAACACAGTTTTCCTAAAAGTATCAAATTGAGACCAAAAATTGCATCAAATCTTTGCAACGTTTT